TCAGGCTTTGGGGGCTTCAGGATTGAGGGTTTAGGGCTTGGGGTTTGGGGTGTGGGCTTCTGATTTTTTCAGGAGAATGCTGCTTTCCTGGAATGAGCCCCCCAGCTGCATGCGCAAGCCCCTGCGAGATTCAGAGTGCCTGTGCCAGATCTACTTGGTGCCGATTTGGGATACTCTCGCTTGCCGAATCCCAACTGGCCTAAACCTCAATGCCTGAAACCCAGGTTTAGGGTTTAGGGTTGGGGTTTGGGGTTTGGGGTTTGGGGTTTGGGGTTTGGGGTTTGGGGTTTGGGGTTTAGGGTTTAGGGTTTAGGGTTTAGGGTTTAGGGCCTCTCCAAAAGAAGCGGCCACGGGAGGTGGACTGCGCTTCTATGAGTGCCTTCCAACGCTTACGTCCAAAGAAAGCACGGCGTCTCCGTTGGTTGAGTCCGAGCCCCAGGTTTAGGGTTTAGGGTTTAGGGTTTAGGGTTTAGGGTTTAGGGGTTGCAGGATCACGGTGTCTCTCTTGCCCAGGCCTTTGAGCCCTAAACCCTAACCCCAAGCCCTAAACTCTAAACTTCATCCTCTGCCTTATGATGTGGATTCAGGGTTTCGGGTTTGGGGTTTAGGGTTTACGGTTTAGGGTTTAGGATTCCCACCCCCCCCCCCCCCCCCCGCAACAAAGCACAAAAACCGAGCGACAACATGCGACTTCGTTTGCAGGGCTTCAGCTCGCCGCCACGCGCACCAAACCCTGAACCCTAACACGCCGCAACTCTACGCCCCTAAGCCTAAACCAAGAATCCTAAGCCAAAGGCCCGAATCAAACCCAGTGCCGCTTGGAACACCCCACCGGACTGAAGTTGCTGTGCTGGGAAGGGAGCGGTTGCTACTGTTTCCCAGGCTGCTTCAGAAACAGCCCCACTTGTTGAGCGGAGCAAAAATATCAGACCAGACACCGTGCAAGCACCCTAGTGACACCGCCCCAGACCGCAAGCGGAGCTGGCCAATCCACGTTTGTTCAATCGCAGCTGCCTGCTGGGTGTCTTCCTTGGCTTGCATGTGCGGCCACATTCCGGCACAGTCCTGAATGTTGAGCTGTGCTGCCTGCTGCCCTGAGCGCGTCACGTCACATGATGCTTGCCACTCTGTGATTAAAGTCGAACAGCCCCACTTGTCGGGTGCCAAAAATCCCTACACCGAACACCTTAAACCAACAACCCTAAACCCCAAAACCCTCAACCCTCCAAGCCGCTTGAACCCTCTGTACTCCACTCGCAACCCCAACCCAGAACTCCCGCAGAAAACTCCATAAAGTTGGAACATGGTTTCAGGACGATGAAGGCAGGGCCTCCCTTTAGTAACCCTCTTGGGATATGAGGACAATGATGTTCCAACTTTTGGGAGTTTACTATAATTTCAAGAAACAGCTTGGCGGCCCTAAAACTCCGAGCCCTTGCAAGTACTCTGGAACAAAGTGGTGCCCTTTCGTTTGCTCTTTTGGGGTGTAGGGTTTGGGGTCAAGGCCTAGGGTTTAGTGTTGAGTGAGCCCTTTCTTTTGCTCTTTTGGGGTGTAGGGTTTAGGGTCTAGGCCTAGGGTTTAGTGTTGAGTGTTTAGGGTTTAGGGGTTCTAGGTTCCCTTACAAAAGTAACCAACCCACAAAGGGTACCTTCATCGTCGTACGGATACTGGGCTGCCGGGAGAGAAACCGTGCCTCGTCCGGGGGGGCTATTTGCGGGCGGCTAAATGTTGAAGGGGAGCCTGTCCCTACCCCTAAACCCTAAACCCTAAACCCTAAACCCTAAACCCTAAACCCTAAACCCTAAACCCTAAACCCTAAACCCTAAACCCTAAACCCTAAACCCTAAACCCTAAACCCTAAACCCTAAACCCTAAATCCTAAACCCTAAACCCTAAACCCTAAACCCTAAACCCTAAACCCCTAACCCTAAATGCCCCAACACGTCGCAGCCCCAGGACCACGGACCTCCTTCCCCGGATTGCCCGGAACGGCCATCGCCCGAGAAGTTGCAGTTTAGGTGGGTTTAGGGTTTAGGGTTTAGGGTTTAGAGATGTTTGGGTTTTAGGGTTTAGGGTTCAGGGATGTTTGGGGTTTAGGGTTTAGGGTTTAGGGGTTCCGGGATGAGAGGGTTTAAAGTTTAGGGGTGTAGGGGTTTACGGATTGGTTTGGCCGCATCCGCACAAGGCGGCGTTTTTGGCCGGCACGGTGTATCCCTGAAGCCACAGAACGGGGTTTAGGGTGTAGTTCTTTACGGGTTCTTAGGGAATGAGGGATGAGGCTCCCTATACAGGGGATAGGGGGAACCTCGCTCTGCTTCCTGGTTAAGAACTGAATCAGAATCGAAAGTTTGAGAACAACAAAAGGTGTGTGTATAGATGTATTTTACACGCACAACTTTTGATCATGTAGAGGTATAGCCCCCAAACCCTCCACCCCACATCCCCAAGCTCACTTGAACGGGAAGCGGACCCCAAACAGGTACCCCTAACTTCTGCCTTTACGGGGCTCTTGCTGCCGCCCAGCTTGAGGCTACACAGCGCTGCTCTTGATGGGCCTGCTGGAGTGCAAGGAGCAGTGATAGCCCTCACCCGCAGCGAAGCCCTTCATGGGTTTGGGGTTTAGGGTTTAGGGTTTAGGGTTTCGGGTTTAGGGTTTAGGGTTTAGGGTGTAGGTCAGCACAGGAAGCCTTGAGGACCTAGAGATGTCTGGAGCGCCGCGTGGTTCAGCTGCATCTCCAGCCCTATAATCCCTTCAACCACCAAAACCCTGAAACCCTCCAATTCCCAAGCCCTGAAATCCGAAGAATGTCAGAGACTGAAGCTGCGACACCTCTGACGTCCTAGCAAAGCCCGTCTAAACCCCTAAACCCAAGATAACCCAAACCCCTAAACCCTAACCCTAAACCCTGAACCCTAAACCCTGTTCCCTAACCCTATACCCTAACCCCTAACCCCTAACCCCTAAACCCTAAACCCTAAACCCTAAACCCTAAACCCTAAACCCTAAACCCTAAACCCTAAACCCTAAACCCTAAGCCCCTTAGCAGGACAGCAGCACCCTCGGGCGCCAGCCCGTGAGCCTCTACGCCCTCGCCAAAGACCTGGGAACGAGCGAGGCGCTTTACGGTTTAGGGTTTTTTAGGGTTTTGGGTTTAGGGATTTGGGGGTTTCGGGGTTGAGGTGTTTAGGGGTTTCGGGTTTAGGGTCAGGGATTTAGGGGATGTTTAGGGTTTAGGGCTTAGGGGTTTAGGGTTTAGGGTTTAGGGGTTTAGGGGTTTAGAGGTTTGGGGGTCTTAGGGTTTTAGGGGTTTAGGGGTTTGGGGGTTTAGGGCTTAGGACCAAGAAGTTAGGCTGCAGGTTCAGGGTCGACAAAGCGGCGTCAAGGTTGGGGAGTTCAGGGTGTTGTGAGGACTTGAATATGCGGCAAATATGGGCCCTCATATTCCCTTAGGGATCCTTAAAAGGGGCCCCAAAACCCAAGGGTACAACCTTAAGGGTCCAAGGTAGAACCCCTAGATGGAGGCCCCTGCCAAGTTAACGGATGCTAAACCCTAAACCCTAAACCCTAAACCCTAAACCCTAAACCCTAAACCCTAAACCCTAAACCCTAAACCCTAACCCTAAACCCTAAACCCTCAACGCTGAACCCTGAACCCTGAACCCTGACATCTGGAGCCTCGATGAAGAAGCCACTCCCCCTCCGCCCCAATGCGATCGCGCGCCAGGAGCTCAAGAGCCTGGTGGTGCAGGCAGGGTTCAGGGTTGGGGGTTTGGGGTTTAGGGTTTAGGGTTTAGGGTTTAGGATTTAGGGTTTAGGATTTAGGGTTTAGGGTTTAGGGTTTAGGGTTAAGGATTTAGGGTTTAGGGTTAGTGTTCTTGTCGGCCGTGCGGAGGCATCTTGGGGGCTTGGGCTTCAGGAGGAGGTGGATCTGTGAAGAACCCAACGAGCCCAAAGCCCCCTAAATACTAGGACCGGAGTAGGTCCTTATTTCATTTTTCATCCCTTATAATCCCCCTACAGCCAAAAAGGGGACCCTTTTCATTCCTAGGTTACTCTTGGGTCTGGAATCCCTAAATTAGGAGTATGTTTTGGGATGTTCCCCCTTATACTGACAGTCCTTCATGGGTATTATAGTACCCCCTATCATAAGCCCTATTAAGGACTGTTAGTATAAGGGGGAACATCCCCAAACATGTCGAGAATTTTAGCGCGCAGGGTTTAGGGTTCAGGGTTCAGGGTTTAGGGTTTTAGGACTGATGGTTTCAGGGCTTCGGGTGTTAGGGATCAGGAGCACTGTAGCTTGAAGCCCACCGTTTTCACCACACCGCGGAAGCACCAAGCTGGGGTACAGACGCTTGAAGCCATCCAGCTTGGCAGGAGCAGGACACGCAACCCATTAAACAATGAACCCTAAGCCCCACATGAATACTTAGCGAAATAATCACAGCGATATGAAGGGAGTCATATACATAAATAGATAAAAACACACACACACACACACACACATATATATATATATATATATATATAGAGGGCAACACAATTATATACATACATATATACGTATATCCTAGGGTAGCGGTGGTGGTGGGGCTACAGAGACCCTGTATGCCAAGCCCTAAACCCTAAACCCTAAACCCTAAACCCTAAACCCTAAACCCTAAACCCTAAACCCTAAACCCTAAACCCTAAACCCTAAACCCTAAACCCTAAACCCTAAACCCTAAACCCTAAACCCTAAACCCTAAACCCTAACCCTACACCCTAAACCCTAAACCCTAAACCCTAAACCCTAAACCCTAAACCCTAAACCCTAAACCCTAAACCCTAAACCCTAAACCCTAAACCCTAAACCCTAAACCCTAAACCCTAAACCCTAAACCACGATTTCGAGGGAGGCGCTTCTTGTTTGTTCTCCATCCGAGGCTCATCGCTTGGGACTGCAAGCCCGAGCCTGAATCCCTCGCGCACGCCTGGTAGGGTTTAGGGTTTAGGGTTTAGGGTTTAGGGTTTAGGGTTTAGGGTTTAGGGTTTAGGGTTTAGGGTTTAGTGGTTGGGACGTTCCCCCTTATACTGACAGTCCTGATCGGGATTATAGTACCCCCTATTATCATCCCTATTAAGGGCTGTTAGTATAAGGCGCCATATCCCAAGTTTTAGGGTTGAGGGTTGAGGGTTGAGGTTTTAGGGTTCAGGGTTTGAGGGTTTGAGGGTGCAGAGTTTGAGGGTTTTAGGGTTTGAGAATTTTAAGGGGCTTTAGGGTTGAGGGTTGAGGATTTTGGGTTTTAGGGTTTTGGGGTTTTAGGGTTTTGGGGGTTTCAGGGTTTTAAGGTTTCAAGGCTTCGGGGTTTAGGGTCAAGGGGTTCAGTTTGACATTTCCCGAGAGTCAATCTGCCGCAGACTTGTTTCCAGACAGACGCTCTAAAAAAACCTACAACTTGCCCTAAACCCTAAACCCTAAACCCTAAACCCTAAACCCTAAACCCTAAACCCTAAACCCTAAACCCTAAACCCTAAACCCTAAACCCTAAACCCTAAACCCTAAACCCTAAACCCTAACCCTAAAACCAAACCCTAAACCCTAAACCCTAAACCCTAAACCCTAAACCCTAAACCCTAAACCCTAAACCCCAAACCCTCTCAGTCTCAGGTTTCTGGTTTTATGGTTTTAGGGTTTTAAGGTTCCAGGGTTTCAGGGTGTGGGTTTTGGGGTAGTAGGATTTTAGGGGTTTTAGGCTTTTAGGGTTTTATAGGGGTTTGGGGTTAGAACAGGATTTTAGGGTTTTTAGGCTTTTAGGGTTTATAGGGGTTTGGGGTTAGAGTCCCTGCAGCACTCTAAATCCTAAACCCTAAACCCTAAACCCTAAACCCTAAACCCTAAACCCTAAACCCTAAACCCTAAACCCTAAACCCTGAACCCTAAACCCTAAACCCTAAACCCTAAACCCTAAACCCTAAACCCTAAACCCCTAAACCCCTAAACCCTAAACCCTAAACCCTAAACCCTAAACCCTCCCAAGACCAGCTGAGGTCTTCATGGACATGCCTCACGATGGAGCTGCGTCAGCAGAGGAGTGCTGGCCTGAAGACCCCTTGGTCAAGGTTTAGGGTTTAGGGTTTAAGGAGGGCTTAGGGTTTAGGGTTTAGGGCTTAGGGCTTAGGAGGGTTTAGGAGGGTTTAGGAGGGCTTAGGAGGGTTTAGGACGGTTTAGGGTTGAGGGCCCAAAATACCCCTAAGCGACAGGAAGATGCCTTAAATCATCCCTAAAGGACTCTCTATATCGTTTAAGGTCCATTTCTAAGTTAGGTTCTCATGTTCTTAAGGGAGGGGGGGTTCAAGGGGGGCACGTAAGCCAAGTTCCCCTACCACTGCCCACTACTCCCTCGAAGCTTCCCTAAGGCTCCCTAGGTTCCTACTTCTTATGAAATATGAACCCCCTACCTTAAGGACCCTGTAATTAAGGGCTTTGGGCTCTCTTGGGGAGTGTTTTGGGAGTTCTGCGGCTAGGGTTTAGGGTTTAGGGAAGGGCTTAGGGTTTAGGGATTAGGGTTTCGGGTTTAGGGTTTAGGGTACCCTACTCTGTGGGGAAATGTCAGGCACTGTTTGGACCGCTGCGCGGCCAAGTTTGATGGGTGTTGCAAGCAAGGGCCCCTAGTGCTTGGAGGTTGGTTGGTAGTTGTAGGTAGGGTTATAGGTACCCTGAATAAATAGGGTTATAAGTATGGCTACCATGAGTTATAGGAAGGGTTATAGGTATGGTAACTACACTTGTATCCGGGTCCTTGTAACCCTACTTCTAACTACCCATGAACCTCCATCATTCTGCTCCCGTTTTAGGTCCACTAAGCACAAGGCTCTGCTTTGTCAGAGAGCTATTCACATCTTCCTAGGGGCCCAAAAACCACATAAACAGAAGGATCCTACAGACAGGGCTTTTCGGAATCCCCCGTAATCGCTTCCCCGTTGTATTAAACGACCCCCCCGATTATAAAAACGTTTTCGGGAAAATTCTGCCGAAACCGACCCTGCCTTTTCAACCCTCTTCCGAATTAAGGGTTTAGGGTTTGGGGTTGAGGATCCTACCCTGTAATCCATTCCCCCTAGGCGCCCCCCCCCCCCCCCCGCACCCATTCGAAACTCGAAATGTGTTTTTAGTATTAGGGGGATGTTTTTATGCATATGCCACTTTTGGGATGGGGTTAGATTGGCTTGAACCCTAAACCCTAAACCTAAACCTAAACCCTAAAAACCCTAAACCCCCTAAACCTAAAACCCTAAACCTAAACCCTAAAACCCTAAAACCCTAAACCCTAAAAAACCCTAAAAACCCTAAACCCTAAACCCTAAACCCTAAACCCTAAACCCTAAACCCTAAACCCTAAACCCCCGAAACCCGAAACCCGAAACCCGAAACCCGAAACCCGAAACCCGAAACCTGAAACCCTAAACCCTAAACCCTAAACCCTAAACCCTAAACCCTAAACCCTAAACCCTAAACCCTAAACCCTAAACCCTAAACCTTCCTGCCTTGCTGGCAGGACGGGTTGGGAGGACAGTTCTTCCATTGGGGAGAGCTTCTCGGATGCACTGGGCCTCTGAGGGTTTAGGGTTTAGGGTTTAGGGTTTAGGGTTTAGGGTTCAGGGCCTCTGCTTCAGTGCGATGGAAGATCACAACTGCTGCAGCAGATGTTGTGAGACCGTTCCCTGTTGAATTAAGCGATGTCCGGAAGCGCCAAGCCTCATTTTTTTGATTTCAATTTGCCCTGCAACCTCTAACCCCCAAGCCCTAAACCCTAAACCTGTAACCCTAGACTCCCAAATCAAAGCCCCTTAACCCTAAACCCTAAACCCTAAACCTGAAACCCTAGACTCCCAAATCAAAGCCCCTTAACCCTAAACCCTAAACCCTAAACCTGAAACCCTAGACTCCCAAATCAAAGCCCCTTAACCCTAAACCCTAAACCCTAAACCTGAAACCCTAGACTCCCAAATCAAAGCCCCTTAACCCTAAACCCTAAACCCTAAACCTGAAACCCTAGACTCCCAGATCAAAACCCCTTAACCCCTAAACCCTGAACCTCCATCCTGCAGGAAGGGCTTCCACCCCATTACTGGGGCGCGGATCTACAACTTCGAAGAGGGGGAGGCCGATTCCGAGGTTTGGGGTTTAGGGTTTTAGGGTTTTAGGGTTTGGGGTTTAGGGTTTAGGGTTTGGGGTTCAGGGTTTGGGGTTTGGGGATTAGGGTTTGGGGTTTAGGGTTTGGGATTTAGGGTTCTTGGTTTAGGAAAGTTCATGGGGTGAGGGGGTGGGGGGGGGGGGGTCAGGGTTTAGGTCTCAGTGGGTCTTAGGTCTTAGTGGGGTTTATGGTTTAGGGATGACTGCCCCTAAACCCTGAACTCCTACACCCCTAAAACCTAAAGCCTACACCCTAAACCCCTAACATCCCTAACACCCTTAACGAACCTTAACCCGAACCCTAACACTCCTAAACCCCTTCAACCCTAAACCCCTGTAACCCTAAACCCTAAACCCCTGCAACCCTAAACCCTAAACCCTTAATCCTCAAGCCGATCGAGGTCCCCCGAGATCCCCCGAGATCCCCCGAGGTTCAGCGCTACCTCCTGTCCAGCATCGCCTTCTGGATGGACCAATTCGGGATTGACGGCTTCAGGTGCAAGACCCGCCACAAAGCTCGGCTTTTGGTAGGGTTCAGGGTTCAGGGTTCAGGGTTCAGGGTTCAGGGTTCAGGGTTCAGGGTTCAGGGTTCAGGGTTCAAGGTTTAGGGTTTAGGGTTCAGGGTTCAAAAGCGCCTTGGGGTTGTAGGACTCAGGTTAAGGGCTTCAGGGTTGGCGTTGAGTGTGCTTCGACTCAGAGAGCCCGTCGACAAGGAGCTAAACCCTAAACCCTGAACCCTGAACCCTGAACCCTGAACCCTGAACCCTGAACCCTAAACCCTAAACCCTAAACCCGAAACCGTGCAGGTTCCTGGATGTGACCTCCATGATCTGGGCCGATCGTGGGAGGCACAGATTGAACTTTAGCCCTCTGCACCCCTAAACCCTAAACCCTAAACCCTAAACCCTAAACCCTAAACCCTAAACCCTAAACCCTAAACCCTAAACCCTAAACCCTAAACCCTAAACCCCAAAAGTCCTAAACCCCAAGCAGCCTAGGCCCCTGAGTCCTTGACGCAAAAACCCGAAACCTCCAGAGCCTGCACCTCAGAACTTCCGTGAACCTGACCCGCTGGAAGCCCAAACCCTGATTCTGTAGTCTCCGCAACGCATGTTCTTCATTCTTTATAGAAGATGTTATTGCTATTGGCAACAGTGGTAATGTTAATAATAGCGAGAATCATAACAAGAATCATGAGAATCCCGAGGAAATTTCACACCATCTTTCTAGGACCATTTTTATTCCTAGGTTGCTCCTGGGTCTAGTTCTTGATGTGTGTGGACATCCGCAGGCTTGATCTTTGCACCCTGAATGCTGAAGCCTAAGCACTGGGAACCCCTAAGCCCGTTTCCTTTAAACTTGGGTTTAGGGTATAGGGTTTAGGGGTTAAAGGCTTAAGGTAACCCCAAGCACGCTTCTTTTCTGGGAGGTTTGTCCCCGCCGACGCGACAGAGATGGAGGAATTCCTGTCCACCGGTGACAAGACGGACAAGGCCCCCTTCAAAGGGAAGCTTCGTAAGCCCTAAACCCTAAACCCTAAACCCTAAACCCTAAACCCTAAACCCTAAACCCTAAACCCTAAACCCTAAACCCTAAACGCCAAACGCTAAACCCTAAACCCTAAACCCTAAACCCTAAACCCTAAACCCTTACTGTAACCCAAACCCCGAGCCCCTAACCCTAAACCCCCAAAAAGCTCCCAAGCCCCAGTTCAGTGAGGAGATGTGAGGGGCTTGGGGCGGGGGGTGTTCGGTTAGGCCCAGAGACTCCAAAACCCCTTAATTAAGGAATATCCCTTAAATTATAATAGGAACCCTCATATGATTTAAGGTATATTCCTTAATTAAGGGGTTTTGGAGTCGCTGGGGGCATCGCTTGATTTCAGGGTTCGACTTTGCCCCGCCGAATTGGGAAAGCAGGGTGGAGCCTCCTCTTTCCGGGTACGCATGCCGACCTGCCACTACGCACACAGAGCGCGCATATACCTGGAAGCCCTAAACCCTAAACCAACCCATTATCCATACAAAACAAGTTAGTGATTTTGCAACAAGGTTACAGAAACAGCAGGCAAGGTCATATACAGAGCGGGCAAGGTCATGCAAAGAGCCTGCAAGGTCATATAGCGAGCGGGCAAGGTCATAGAATCGGTTGGCAAAGGTCCTTCGGCTGATCCATGACCTTGCCCAATCTTGACATGACCCTTGCCCGCTCTTCATATGTTTATACGAATATACAGTGAATAAACGCCCCAAAAGCACCCATGGCTTCCCTCTGAACCCTGTGAGAAGTCGGAGCCTTGTATCCAGGGCACCCCAAAAAGGGGAACCAACCCAGACCTTGCGTTTCAGGCCCCCAAACCCCAAACCCCAAACCCCAAACCCCAAACCCCAAACCCCAAACCCCAAACCCCAAACCCCAAACCCCAAACCCCAAACCCCCCCAAACCCCAAACCCCAAACCCCAAACCCCAAACCCCCCCAAACCCCAAACCCCAAACCCTAAACCCTAAACCCTGAACCCTAAACCCTAAACCCTTAAGCTAGAACAGCCCTCAGCAGCAAACAAAACCCCTGCGCTTCAGGCCGGGCTCCAGTACTTGATGCAGGCCAACTCCCTCATCGGGTTCAGGGTTTAGGGTTTAGGGTTTAGTGTTTAGGGTTTAGGGTTTAGGGTTTAGGGTTTAGGAATGCTTGATGCAGGCCAACTCCCTCATCCATGACATGGAGAAGCACGCCCGGACTGTGGCCGAGGATGAAACCCGAAACCCGAAACCCGAAACCCGAAACCCGAAACCCGAAACCCGAAACCCGAAACCCGAACCCGAAACCCGAAACCCGAAACCCGAAACCCTAAACCCTAAACCCTAAACCCTAAACCCTAAACCCTAAACCCTAAACCCTAAACCCTAAACCCTAAACCCTAAACCCAAACCTAGGAGGTATGTAGAAGCACGAAGTGACATCATGTCCCGCAAGAGCATTCTCCTTACGGGCTCTAGGTAGGGAATTAGGGCTTCGGGGTCCCATCTTGAATGCCGGAAAAGATACGTCAAAGGATAGACAAGGTCTCCAACTCCATACGGGCTTAGGGTTTAGTTTAGGGTTTAGGGTTTAGGGTTGCCCTCCACCCTAAACACCCTAAGCTCTAAGCCCTAAACCCTAAACCCTAAACCCTAAACCCTAAACCCTAAACCCTAAACCCTAAACCCTAAACCCTAAACCCTAAACCCCCGACAGGAGTCAAGCATGTATCCATATCTCTGCGACGCGGTGGCAGATGGAGGGCTGGGCTTCGACTATCGGCAGGCAGTCTCGATTGACCGGGCTCCTGAGCATACCCCCCGAACCGTTGAGGGTTTAGGGGTTTAGGGTTTAGGGTTTAGGGTTTGGGGTTTTAGGGTTTTAGGGTAGGGTTTAGGGTTTTAGGGTTTAGGGTTTGGGGTTTAGGGTTTAGGGTTCAGGCTTTAGGGTGCAGGAGCCTAAGTCTATTTCCAACGTGATCCTCTTAAAGCCCCTAGCGTTGATGGCGAGGATTGCATCAGCCTTTAGAACCCCGTACGTATGCAGAAGATACTGCCCAAAATGCGCGTTCCAAACAACATCAATTCTCGCAACCTACGAATCCCTAAGGCCTAGAAACCCAAATCCGAAGAAGAACCTGAGCCCTAAGAAGCCCTAGGCCCGACAACATCCCTAAAGCCTCAACCCTAAACCCTAAGAGCTAAAAAAAATTCCAAAGCCCTCTGTTCTGAACCCCTCAACGCCCCTCACCCCAAATCCATACGAAGCTGTCCTAAACCCCAAGAGCCCTGACCACCATCGAAGCCGAAAGGCCCCAATAAGCAATCCTCAAAACCCCTAAGAAACCCAGAGCGCCACAGAGACCCCCCCAAGAAACTAAACCCTAAGCCCTAGGCCCTAAGCCCTAAACCCTAAATCCTAAACCCTAAACCTTTAAAGCCTAAGCCCTGAACCCTAAACCCAAAACCCTTTCTTGCGCAGGGGTCCAACGCTCCGTCACTCTTCCGCGAGTTGGTATCGACCTGCCCAGCACTCAGTGGACCTGGGCGATGACACCTGGAGTGTAGGGCTTCGGCTACTACCCTAGGTTTAGGGTTAGGGTTTAGGGTTTAGGGTTTAGCGTTTAGGGTTTAGGGTTAGGGTTTAGGGCTACCACCTGTGGGTAGGGTGATAAGTACCCTAAGAAGGGTTCTAAGCATGGTCACCATACCTAGAACCCTACCTACCCTAAGCCCTAAACCCTAAACCCTAAACCCTAAACCCTAAACCCTAAACCCTAAACCCTAAACCCTAAACCCTCAACCCTCAACCCTGAACCCTGAACCCTAAACCCTAAACCAGCGCACCGCAGGTCGGGATGAGCAATGGGGCATGAAGACGATTGTTGACAGCATCTGCGAGGCACAGAGAGCTGAGCAGAGAAGCACTCAAGGGACTAACCCTAAACCCTAAACCCTAAACCCTAAACCCTAAACCCTAAACCCTAAACCCTAAACCCTAAACCCTAAACCCTAAACCCTAAACCCTAAACCCTAAACCCTAAACCCTAAACCCTAAACCCTCATCAGCTCTCGCCCTTGAGATGAAGAAGACCCTGCCGAAAGAGAAGATCTTGGGCTACATGGAGTCGCTTGACCACTGCGCCGCAAGCTCAGCACTCTGGGGTGCTTTACTGTAACTTTAGATCCTTAGCCTTTTTGGGTTTATTGGGTTTCTTCATCGGGCAGCTAAATTTTCATTTATAGCTACCCTACTAGGAGCCAAGAGCCTAGCGGGACTGCGGCATGCGCAGAGGCATGAGAGCCTCAGGACCAGAACACCTGGCGGGAAGAAGAGTCCATACGTCCAGCAAGAAAACCCTGAAACCCCAAGGTTGGGTGGTTGTAAGTAGGGCGATAAGCATGGTAGCCGTACTCCTTACCCTGTTTAGGGGGACTTAATAGCCCTCTTTGGGTTTAGGGTTTAGGGTTTAGGGTGCAGGGTTTAGGGTTTAGGGTTTAGGGTTTTTGAGCCTCCAATCAGGCATCCGTCTCCGTTTTTGACTCAAGGGCTTGTAGAGGATCTTGTCCAGGGTCGTGTCGAGTGCAGTTGGGGTTAGGGTTTAGGGTTAGGGTAAGGGATTAGGGTTTAGGGTTTAGGGTATTCTATCTTCGGAGCTTGCTCTTCGGTACCCTGAGCCCCCAACCCTTTGGGGCATGCAAGAGGACCACACATTTCCTGCTCAGCTGCTTGGGGTTTAGGGTTTAGGGCCTAGGGTTTTAGGGCCTAGGGTTTAGGGTTTAGGGTTTGGGGTTTAGGGTTTCGCGGGGTTTGAACTGGGATGTGTCATGCATCTGCGATTCCAGGCCATTGGGAGGAGGCCCTTGAAGATTGCCATGCTGTCGACCCTGCCTCAGCTGTTTAAAGGAAGTCGGCCTTTAGGGTCTTTTTCAGGGGTAGAGCTTAAACCCTAGGCCCCAAATCCCAAATCCCAAACCCTAAACCCTAAACCCTAAACCCTAAACCCTAAACCCTAAACCCTAAACCCTAAACCCTAAACCCTAAACCCTAAACCGCTTCACCCCCAGCCCTGAGCCCCAAACCCTAAACGGCAGGCCGTTTAGGGTTTAGGGTTTAGGGTAGGGGTTGGGCTGTGAGGGAAGCTTGCTTTTTAAAGGTTGAAGGCCGTTGGTTTTTTGGCTGGATCTGGCATGCATCAGGCCTTTCTGTGTACCAACCCCAAGAAAGGGTTTAGGATTTAGGGCTCTAGACCCTAAACCCTAAGCCCTCAGCCCTAAGCCCTAAGCCCTAAACCCGACTCTAAACCCTAAACCCTAAACCCTAAACCCTAAACCCTAAACCCTAAACCCTAAACCCTAAACCCTAAACCCCAAACCCTAAACCCTAAACCCTAAACCCGAGCTTCAAAGCTGCGTTGTCCGAGCTTGCAAGCTGTCAACTTCAGGTGGGAGACCCTGCACACCATCGCAGCTGGCGGCGTTGCTCCCCACGTCGGACCCCGAAGTCATGCCGCTTTAGGGTTTAGGGTTCAGGGGTTAGGGTTTAGGGCTTAGGGTTTAGGGTTTAGGGTTTAGGTTTAGGGTTTAGGGTTTAGACTCGCCCGAGTTTGGGTTGGTCCTTAGAATCATAGTAGGATCACCGACCCCTCTCTAATTCGGGTTGCAGGGTTTGGTGTTTAGGTTTTAGGGCCCAATGATTTCAAAAAGTTTATTATCAAGATACCGATTTTTTCTGTAAAATCCTTACTTCACGGGTACTGGTCTGAGTTTTTCCACTAAGTCATGTAGAGGCAGGGGTAGTCGCAGTGGAAGCAATCGCCCTACTCGTAGAACGCAGCCCGAAACCCCAGACCCGAAACCCTAAACACCAAACTCTAAACTCCAAACCCTAAACCCCAAAACCCTAAACCCCAAACCCTACACCCCACCCATGGCCCGAGCAAACTGCCTCTCAGGTCACCGAGCTGGCCGGCGCCCTTCACAAAGCAGGCGCCCAAAAAGTCGATTCAAACTCTGAAGTCGATAGAATCCCCTAATTGGGGTGTGGGGTTTGGGGTTCTGGGTTTAGGGTTCAGGGTATAGCGTTCAGGGTTTCGGGTTGCTCAGCGTTTCTCATTTTCTCGAACAGCCCAGAAACCCTACGCCCTTTTCAAAGATGTGGGTTTAGGGTTTAGGGTTTAGGGTTTAGGGTTTAGGGTTTAGGGAGCAAACCCCATGAGCCGCATGCTGCAGGCCACACGGTGCACATCTTCACCCGATCCACGCAGAACCGCACCTGGGAGACCCACGGCTGACCCAAGGATCCCTAAACCCTAAACCCTAAACCCTAAACCCGAAACCCTAACCCCGAAACCCTATGTAAACCTCAAACCCCCAAACCCGAAACCCCAAACCCTACACCCTGAATCTGAGGAATGACATCGGCGGCGTCATCTACCACGAGGCAAGGCCCTGTAAGCACAGGAGGCTGTCTTCATCAGTTCTATCGCCCTCTTTAGGTTTTAGGGTTCGGGGGCCTGGGGTTTAGGGTTTAAACCCTAAACCCTAAGCCCTAAGCCCTAAACCCTAAACACTAAACCCCAAACCCAGGTGAACTTCGGCACTGACAGCGACTTTGTGCGTGAGATTGAGAACATGTGCTGTGCCTTTGCACCTGGGCTGCAGCTTCGCAGAGAGCGGGATGCTCCTTAAGGAGATCTTCAAGGGACTGAAGGAGGGGCCCTTATAAGGGACCTTAGGGTTTAGGGTTTTTTAGGGATATATATATATATAGGGGCTACTTAGTTATAGGGGCTATACAATCCTTTTCAAGGGCCTCTTACTTTCAAGGGACGAAAGGAGGGACCCTTGGGCTTCTTTGGGGCGTATTCAGAGGCTACTTAGCTATGTAGGGACTATAAAAGGCAATGTAAGGGTTATAGCTAGGTGATATGGGGGAATGAGATTCAGGGGGTGCGATGCTCCTTAATGAGTATGGTGCAACGGGTTTTAGGGTTCAGGAAGGATTGCACCTTAACCTACATTGGGCTTGTTATGAATTGAAGTACTCTTTGGGCTCTCATTTAGTTCGGGAAAGCAGATGCCGTGCAGGATCCCAATGCGCTTCTATATAGCCCCTTTTATGCCTTAAACCCTGAATGCCAAGCTCAAAGCCCTGATGACTGAACCCAAAACCCGAATGCCCTAAAACCCGCGGGGCGGGGGTGGAGCCGGGAGGTGTGGATGTACATATGTATATATACACATACAAATATACGTGCAAGACCCAGAAGCCACGAAAGCACGTACGCCCTAAGCCCGAAGCCCGAAAGCCTTAAACCCTAAACCCTAAACCCTAAACCCTAAACCCTAAACCCTAAACCCTAAACCCTAAACCCTAAACCCTAAACCCTAAACCCTAAACCCTCAACCCTAAACCCTCCAAAACCTTCAATCAACTCAGACCTGGGTTTGGAAGTCAAATCCCTCCTCCCCCCCCCCCCCCCCGAAAGGGCACAAAACTTGCAGTCCCTAAGCCCTAAAGCCCTAAACCCTAAGAAGTTCAGGGTCTCAGGAAGCGGGTTTGGGGATGGAGGGGTTTCGGAGCTCAAGCCAAAGCAGAACACCAAGATGGATCGGCTTTCTAGATCTTTTTTGGTACAAGGGGTTTCTGGTTCAAGGTGTAGGGTTTAACCCTAAACCCCCTAAAACCCGAAGCCCGAAACCCGGCTTTCGGAGAAGTGCAGCGCTTCACAGGTTGGCCACTTCAACCACATGGAAAACCGGATAGGCTCGGCAATTTGGGTCTAGGGTTCAAAAAGAAGCGTGCCCAGGGCTTAAGGCTTAAGAAGGCTTAAAGGTGTAGAGGTTTCGGGTCTAGGGTTTAGGGTTAAAGGTGTAGGGGTTTAAGGTTTAGGGTGTAGGGTTTAGAGGCTAGGGTTTAGGGTTTAGGGTTTCGCGCTTCGTGCGCACATCTGGGTCCGTGGCCATAGCCGAAGACTTGATATTGTCGCTGAATTGGCGCATGCGGGAAGTGAGCAAGAACAATTATCATTCGTATCCCCTCTACTCCCTGTGAACTGGCTCCGCGGCTTGTAGCTACCAGTACAATAGTATCATTCTGGTTACCAAAAGTGACTTATTTGTATACGTACTCATGTATTCTTTCAAAGCCCCCCCCCCTCCCCACTTCCCCAAACCCTAAATCCCCTAAACCCGAAAACCCGAATCTAAACTGGACCCTAAATCCCAAACACTAAACCCTGGACCCCAAAAAGCCAACAAGCCCGAATCTAAGCCGGACCCTGTGTCTACCTCCCAGCGGATCAGGGTTTAGGGTTTAGGGTTTAGGGTTTAGGGTTTAGGGTTTAGGGTTTAGGGTTACCAGCAGCTCAGGTGGCTTCGATGTCATTCACGGCCATGATTGGCTAGTGGGCCCGGCCTGCATTCAGCTGGCCTCGATGAACAAGCGCGCCGGGGCACCTACACTGGGACCCGGGATGTACGGCTTAGGGCTTAGGGTTAGGGTTTAGGGTTTAGGATTTAGGGCTACGACTTGGAGGTTCATCTGGGTAGTTATAGGGCTATAAGTAGGTACCCTAAAGAGGGTTGTGAGTGTAGTTGCCCTGCTTAAAACTGAACCTCCAAGTAGGGTCTTTGAGGGCTTCCTGGAGTGATGCTGCGGTTTAGGGTTTAGGGTTGCGGGTTGAGGGTTGAGGGTCTAGGGTTTAGGGTTTAGGGTATCTTGTTTTGAGTGGACATGCGCGGGTAAGATAGGTCTGCCTCTTGGACTCCAGCCAAGGTCGTGTTTACGATGCACTCGACGGAGACTGGCCGCTGTGGCAACGTGCCCTAGCTTCATTAGGGTTTAGGGTTTAGGGTTTAGGGTTTAGGGTTGAGGGTTGAGGGCTTAGGGCTTAGGGTTTAGGGTTAAGGGTTTAGGGTTAGGGGGTCCATGGCGGTCGCTTCGATGCTGTGGAGTTCAGTAAACCCTAAACCTTGGTAGCTCAGTGGTACGCTTTTTTTTCCCTTTTGTTGGTTGAAGTTTCCCTTATAGATTTAACGTAACCAACCCCAACAAGGGTACCCTTATTCTGATATGGTTACTGGGCTACCGAGAAAGCCTAAACTCCACACCCCAAAAACCCCCAAAACGAAGCAACTATGAAAGCTGCCAGGTGCAGTACGGAGGACAGAGTGCCCGAATCCGTGGGCAGCTCAGACGTCCGTGCACTAAGCCTAAACCGTCAACCTCAGACAACGCAAACCTAAACCCGAAATCCTAAACTCCAGTTCCTGCGCCCCTATCCCCAAGCCCTAATTCCTCAACCCCAAACCCTAAACCCCAAACCCTAATTCCTAAACCCCAAATCCTCAACCCCAAATCCCAAACCCCAAATCCTAAACCCCAAATCCTAAACCCCAGACCCTAAGCCCAAACCCTAAACCCCAGCTCCTATAACCCCCAAGCCCTCCACGGTGAGTCCCTGCGCCTCCTCAGGTGAAATCGAGGGCCACGCCTGCCATTCCGCCGAGCGCGTCATCGCGGTGTCCGGGGTTCTGAAGGAGGAGGTGTGGGACCCGAAGATCCATCCCCAAAGAGCCCAATACCCCTTAATGAAGGAATATTCCTTCAATCATACAAAGGATCCCTATATATGGTTTACGGAGTGTTGCTTAAATTAAGGGGTTTTGGGCTCTCTGGGTTGGGGGGTTTAAGCAAGGGACCCCTAACAGCTCCTTAGTAGGGATTCCTAGTAGTAGAGTAGGTGGCCTTTAACCTTTTTGGGGTAGTATAATCCCCTGATAATCCCAAAGGTTGGACAACTAAGGATTATGGTACCCATCCCAAACTATAATCGCTGCATAGATGGGGTTTTGCGAAAATAGGGGACCCCTAATCCAGATCCTCAAATGCTAGGACCCCTTTGCAACGAGGACCCCAGTAAGGTACCCCCAATTTCGAAACCCTAAACCCTGAACCCTAGACCCTAGACCCTAAACCCTAAACCCTAAACCCTAAACCCTAAACCCCCATTTGGGGGGTCTCTCGAAATTAGGGTCCCTCTCCGGGTCGTCTATCAGAAGCACGGGGCTTTGCATATAAATAGGTTGGGCGGGTCCATGTTCTCAGAGAGTTAGTAGGCGTTTAATTGGGGTTTATGAGGTTCTCAACCGTTTTTTTTCTTGGTAGGCCCGTGGGATAGCTAGTTGGTTGGAGTTGAAGAGATTCATATTTAGGGTTTAGGGTTTAGGGTTTAGGGTTTAGGGTTTAGGGTTTAGGGTAGGGGGACCCCCCCCAAATAGCCTGAGTTGCATCGCGTGTTTGTTTTTTGCGTGGTCAAGCGGACACCTGTGGCACCATGTAGCATGAAGACAGCATGGGCCCTTACTTTGAGGTTCATGGGTAGTTATACGAAGGGTTAAAAGTACCCTAAAAAAGGCTTATAAGTATAGTTGCCATACTTATAGCGCACCTTGAGGCCCTGCCAACTTCATCTTGACAGGTTGACGACCCGCAACCCTCAGTGGCCCAAGCAGGGTGTGGGGTTTAGGGTTGGGCACGCTAAAACCCTGAACCCTCAACCCTCAACCCTAAACCCTAATCCCTAAACCCTAAACCCTGAACCCTGAACCGCAAACCCTAAGTGGCTTAAGGAGCTGTTCTTGCCAAGGTCTGCTCTCACTACCACGTCCACGGCGCCAAGATCGAAGTGATCTACAACGGTGGCGCCCCCAGTTCGTGGTTTTGGGTTTAGGGCCGGTTTAGGGTTTAGGGTTTAGGGTTGAGGGTTGAGGGTTTAGGGTTTAGGGTTTAGGGTTCCCGTTGGAGGATTTAGGACGTACATTTTTTCGCGTCCTTGCGGTGAGGAATCCACGCTGAAGCCATCGCGAAGATGGAGTGGGAGGATGAGTGGACCGGCAACACCAAGAAGGACAAGGCGGCTTCGGGTTTAGGGTTTAGGGTTTGGGGTTTGGGGTTTAGGGTTTAGGGTTTAGGGTTTAGGGTTTAGGGTTTAGGCTTCGGCCCATAAAAAGTCAAGTTTTTGCTTGTCGTTTCGGCGTTTGGGGTTTTAGTAGGGGTTCGGTTCATTTCCACAGCTTCGCAAGAGGGGTTTAGGGTTTAGGGTTTAGGGTTTAGGGTTTAGGGTTTAGGGTTTAGGGTTTAGAAACACATTCCAAGATGCATGCCAGGTATTGACGCTTCCCAATCCTCGAGCCTCATTCGTACTTGCACCATCCTCAAGCTTGGACACGCCCTGGAAAAGGCCTTCTAGATGGCCTTGAGTCTTCCCAGATACCTAAGCCCTCAACCCTAAACCCTAAACCCCAAACCCGAAACCCTGAACCCCAAAGCCATAGGCTTCCTATCTAGAAGCGGCCCCCTGCGCTAGCGTCCCAGGGCTTCGACGTAATGGATCCCCTTTCAGCCCCTCCTTACAAACCCCCCCTTCAGCCTCCCCCTGTAGCCCTAAACCCTACACCCTAAACCCTAAACCCTAAACCCTAAACAATAAACCCTAAACCCTAAACCCTAAGCCCTAAAAACCTTAAACCCTAAACCCTAAACCCTAAACCCCAAACCCCAAACCCCAAACCCTAAACCCTAAAAGGCCCCTCTCAAGTCCTCCCTCGCAAAAACAGGGCTTCGACGTCATGGATCCCATGTTCCTCTTCGTGGGCCGCCTGGCGGTGCAGAAGGGGCCGGACCTCCTCCTGGAGGCGCAGGGTTTAGGGTTTAGGGTTTAGGGTTTAGGGTTTAGGGTTTAGGGTTTAGGGTTTAGGGTTTAGGGTTTAGGGTCAACAAAGGGGTTTTCAGGCCTTTACGCTTTTCAGTTGAGGGGGGCGGGGGGGGGGGGGGCTTGGAGCTTTGCTGCTTCTCGCGTTGATGTTAAGGGGTCCTCGAATACACGTGACACCTTCATAGAGGAGCCTAAGCGCACGCTTCCCAGAGACTACAATACTCCTTGCAGTAAAAGGAATACCCCTTAAACCATATAAGGAACCCGACTAGAATTTTAGGAATATTCCTTATAAACCTTACAAGCCACACAAGGAACCTTATTTATAATTTACGGAACACTCCTTAATTCAGGGCTTTTTTGTTTTTTTCAAGGAATATTCCTTAACTGCCTAAACCCTAAACCCTAAACCCTAAACCCTAAACCCTAAACCCTAAACCCTAAACCCTAAACCCTAAACCCTAAACCCTAAACCCTAAACCCTAAACCCTAAACCCTAAACCCTAAACCCTATTAAGGGGTCTTGGAGTCCCTGGGTTCCCCATTTCTCGGCGCGCAGGCCATTCCGATGATCCTTCAAGCCAGGGGCAATGCCAAGTTCGTCATCGCCACGTGCTTGGTGTTGCCTTGACGGCGTGGTTTAGGGTTTTGGGGTTTAGGGTTTAGGGTTTAGGGTTCAGGGTTCAGGGTTCAGGGTTCAGGGTTCAGGGTTCAGGAGAAGCGAGCATCTGGTGCGAAAGTCTATCTTCTTTGGCATGCGTGTTGCAGACTGGAGGAAGTTAGCCGAAGTTCTAGATGCCCAAACTTTGCTCTCTAAACCCAAAACCACAAGAATAGGCCCCAAAGCCTAAAACCCAAAAAACCTAAGCCCCTAAGCCCCCTGCATGCGTTAAGGAGTGCCCCCTTGAGCCTTTTCCCCCCAGAAAGGGAATGAGGGATTGAGGGCGCTATATGCCCTTTAAGGGATTATATAGGGTACCTCTATATAATACACCCTTTAAGGGATTATATAAGGGCCCTAAAAAAACAAAAAAGATAATTAAATAAGTAAATACATATATATATATACCCTTTCAGGGATTATATAAGGGCCCTATGTATAGGGATTATCTAGGATACCTCATTCATTCCTTACGAAGACCCAGCCAGTTTTCAGGTCGGCGACGGCCACATGAAGAGTGCCTTGGAGGCCCGCGCCGGGCAGCTGCTTTGATGCAGTGCGTGGGGGGGCTACGCCGCGTCTCCGTGTTGCTTAAGCGAAAATCGGAAACCCTAAACCCCAAACCCTAAAACCCAAACCCTAAACCCTAAACCCTAAACCCTAAAGCCCCGCTTACAAAAATTGACAATCGGGTGCTATGAGGAAAGGTGCCAGGTTTCCTCAAGCACCAAGAGCCCTCAATATCCCCCCAAGGACTCCCACCCCTGCCCCTCCCCCCCCCCACCCCCCCAAACCCGAGGAAACTGAAACATCAAAACAATCGGGCAACCACCGCACTCGGCACCAACTACCAACCCTCCAAAAGCGCTTGTTGTTGTGCACTCTTTTTCCGTGGGCAATGAAAATCATATCCTGAAATGTCTGCGAAATAGGAAGGGCCCCAAGACTTTCCATCCTGCCAAAATCCAAGGCCCCAAAGCCCTGAAACCGAAAGCCGCCCAAACCCCAAGCCCCAAGACCCAAGCCCCAAGCCCCAAGCCCCAAGCCCCAAACCCCAAACCCCAAACCCTCAAACCCTCAAACCCTCAAACCCTCAAACCCTCAAACCCTCAAACCCTCAAACCCTCAAACCCTCAAACCCTCAAACCCTCAAACGCTCAAACCCTCAAACCCTCAAAACCTCAAAACCTCAAACCCTCAAACCCTCAAACCCTCAAACCCTCAAACCCTCAAACCCTCAAACCCTCAAACCCTCAAACCCTCAAACCCTCAAACCCTCAAACCCTCAAACCCTCAAACCCCAAACCCCAAACCCCAAACCCCAACCCTAAACCCTAAACCCTACCTTGGAGCCCTGAGCAAGCCCAGGCTGGGTGTTTCGCATGCTGTGAGCTTCGCGGGCTCTGCCAGGGCCTTGGGGGGGGGGGAAGGCCTGGGTTGTCCCAAACCCTAAACCCTAAACCCTAGACCCTAAACCCTAAACCCTAAACCCTAAACCCTAAACCCCCTAAACCCTAAACCCTAAACCCTAAACCCTAAACCCTAAACCCTAAACCCTAAACCCTAAACCCTAAACCCTAAACCCTAAACCCTAAAACCTACACCCTAAACCCTAAACCCTAAACCCTAAACCCTAAACCCTAAACCCTAAACCCTAAACCCTAGAACCTAGACCCTAAACCCTAAACCCTAAGCCCTATACCCCCGGGAGGATCCAGAAAGTAGAATCTCCAAATGCCGCTCTTGGGTCATTCTGTTGGGATCGTAGCCCTGGTAACCTTTTCCCTTTATTTTGGGTTCAAGGTTCCCTTAGAAAGTAACCAACCCCCGCCCGGGCTCTAACATGGTTACTGGGCTACCGAGTTGTCCGTCTTTCATGTTACTCAGGGTTTAGGGTTTGGTGTTTGGGGTTTGCTGTTTAGGGTCTGGGGTCTGATGTTTGGGGTTTGGGGGTTTAGGGTTTAGGGCTAGGGATGTAGGGTTTAGGGTTAAAGGGTTTAGGGTTTAGGGTTTAGGGTTTAGGGCTATGGATTTAGGGCTTAGGGTTTTAGGGTAGGACGCCTCTCGGGAGCTGGCATGAGCTCCGCGCTTCCCAAATCCCCGAACCCACCGGCCCAAGGCAAAGAGCCCCCGCGCGGACGCATTCAAGATGCCCTAAACCCTAAACCCTAGACCCTAAACCCTAAATCCTAAACCCTAAACCCTAAACCCTCAACCCTACACATGAAACTACCCTCAAGGGCCTATTCAGATGAACTTCTGCATCGCCATCTGCATCAGTTAGCACCCGAAGATGTGCTGTGCCCAGGTGAAGAGTGGCACTGCGCATTTGAAGGCGCGGCTCCTCATGGGGTTGAGGAGTGTTGCAGGGTTTTGCTTTCTGTTTGGGGAGGTTGCCGAGCGTAGGCTCCGGAATTCGTGGCGCAAGCCCTAACTCCGCCCTCCACCCTCCGCCCTCCACCCTCCGCCCTCCGCCCTCCACCCTCCACCCTCCACCCTCCACCCTCCACCCTCCACCCTCCACCCTCGACCCCAAACCCCAAACCCCAAACGCCAAACGCCAAACGCCAAACGCCAAACGCCAAACGCCAAACGCCAAACGCCAAACGCCAAACCCCAAACCCCAAACCCCAAACGCCAAACGCCAAACCCCAAACCCCAAACCCCAAAGCCCAAAGCCCAAAGCCCAAAGCCCAAAGCCCAAAGCCCAAAGCCCAAACCCCAAACCCCAAACCCCAAACCCCAAACCCCAACCCCACCACCCCTGCGACCTAAACCCTGAACCCCAAAGCCCTGAAACCCTAAACTTAAAAACCTAAACATCCCTAAACCCCCTTGCGCTGAGTCCCTCTTCAAATCTTGCGACGCCGTGGTGGTGCCCAGCCGGAATGAACCCTTCGGCATCGTTGTGCTCGAGGTGGCTGGTTGGAGGGGATGTAGGGATTTAGTCGGGTTTTAGGTTTAGGGTTCAGGGTTCAGGGTTTAGGGTTTAGGGTTTAGGGTGAAGGGTTTAGGGTTGGTTTAAGTGTTCAGGTGTTTGAGGGGATTGAGGGTTTGGGACATGGGCCTGAGGGTTCAGGGTGAGGGATTCGGCAGAGGGAACGCTGGCCCCACAGGCCAAAACATCTCGAGACCCTGAGCCCTAAAGATTGGAACAGAAAAACCCTACACCCTAAACCCTGAGGAAGATCAAACACTTGACCTGAAAACCCTGTAACCCCAAAGCATTCTCAACCCAACCGCACCAAACCCTCAACCAGAAAAACCCTCAAACATCACCCCCCCCCCACCCAAACCCTCAAAACGCAACACCGTAAGACCCCAACACCCTATCACCAAAACACCAAAACACCCTAACTCCCTCAGATAGCGCTATGAATCCTCAGCACTCAGCGTCTACAGCTCAAGGGGTTTAGGGTTCAGGGCCCTAAACCCTAAACCCTACACCCTGAAGCCTAAACCCTAAGGAGTTTAGGGTTCAGACCCGTAGTCCTTCCAAGCCCCTAGATCCCTGAAACTTCTACCCTGGACCCTTCATACCCTGCATTTTCCCTTAGGTCCCTTAGGGTAGTTTCATGGGCCCTTAGTATGGTCCCTAACCTCCTTCAAAGGGTTCTGATGCAGGGCCCTTAATTTGTGTAGGGTATATAAGGGGTGTATTAGGGGTACCCCATACGAAGGGACCATGTAAGGGGCCTAAACCCTAAACCCTAACTCTAAACCCTGAACCCTAAACCCTAAACCCTAAACCCTACACCCTGAACCCTCAACCCTAAACCCTAAACCCTAACCCCTAGGAAAGCCCTGGAGAGGCTTGGGCTGCAGGGAAGCCGGTGATCGCCACAACCTGCGGTGGCCCTCGGGACTTTGCGGCCCGGCGTGAAGTTTTAGGGGGGGTCAGGGTTGAGGTTTAGGGTTTAGGGTTTAGGGTTTGGGGTTTGGGGTTTAGGGTTTAGGGTTTAGGATTTAGGGTTTGGGGTTTAGGGTTTAGGGTTTAGTGTTTAGGGCTTACGGTTTAGGTATTTCAGAATTTTTGAGTTGTGAGGTCTTGAGAGGTTCGCGGTCTGTTGCGGGGTTCAGGGACGGGTGGGGGGGGGGGGGGGGGGGGGAGGGTCGGGGGCGGGGAGGGGGGGGGGGGGTGGGCTCCCCAGACCCTAAAACCTAAACTTATCAAGGCTGCAGTTAATGTTGACATGCTTCATCTTTGGGCCCTATTCCCTATGTAACCCTCTACCACCCACAGATGCTTTGCAGGGCCTCCTAGACTCTAAACCCTAAACCCTAAACCCTAAACCCTAAACCCTAAACCCTAAACCCTAAACCCTAAACCCTAAACCCTAAACCCTAAACCCTAAACCCCAAACCCCAAACCCCAAACCCCAAACCCCAAACCCTAAACCCTAAACCCTAAACCCTAAACCCCAACCCTAAACCCTAAACCTTTGTGGTCGCTGAGGTACGGCCCGATCGAGATGGTTACCTAGTGGATCCGGATCCAGGAAGCATCGTGGGCTCCCTAGCTCCCCAGATGTTCCAGCTGAACCTTAAACCCTGAACCCTGAACCCTGAACCCTAGACCCTAAACCCTAAACCCTAAAGCCTAAACCCTAAACCCGACACCCTAGAAGTAGTCCCTGGATAAGTTGAGGAAGATCCAGGCATCCTCCACCAGGGTTTCTGGACCAGGGATTTTCACAAGTGGACGGCGGGTTTCGGGAGCCCTTTGAGGCCTTAGGGGTTCAGGGTTCAGGGTTTAGGGTTTAGGGTTGGTTAAGCTGGGGGTTTATGGTATAATTAGGGCTTTTAGGTTTAGGGGTGGTTTGGGCTAGGGGTTTAGGGGCTAGGGGTTTAGGGGTTTGGGATTTAGGGCTTTTAGGGTTTGGGGTTTAGGTTTGGGGTTCTTCGTGGGGTTTAGGGGTTTAGGGAGCCCTGTGAGGGTCTGGGGGTTGAGGGTGTAATTTGGGCTTTTAGGGTTTGGGGTTTAGGGCTTTTAGGGTTTTGGGTTTGGGGCGAGTTGGGGTTTTAGGGGTTGTTGCAGGCCTTGCAGAGTTTATGAGGTTCGTGGGGCTGAAAACGGCTTTAGGGGGGCTTATACGCTTTAGAGGGTTTTGTAGTAAAACTTGTAGGAGTCGAAGGGTTTATAGGGCTTCTAGGGTTTAGGATGAATAGGGCTTGCAGAATTCATAGGATACATGGTTTACAGGGCTTAAACCCTAAACCCTAAACCCTAAACCCTGAACCCTAAACCCTAAACCCTAAACCCTAAACACTAAACCCTCAACCCAACAAGCCCTGTAAACCTATGCAAGCCATGGGCCCATACTTCCGAGCCTTCGAAGAGTCGCCAGGGCCCGTATTCAAGGGGCCATGTCCCTAGCACCCTCCTCGGAGGGTCCGGGGGCGATTTAGCAAGTAGTTATGAAGGAGCCCCGTTTGGAGCCTTTAAACCCAAAAGCCAAAAACCAAAGCCCAACACCCAAAACCCAAAACCTGAAACCCAAAACCCTAAACCCTAAACCCTAAACCCTAAACCCTCACCCTAAAGCTACGGTATTCATAGCTCTGCTGTGCCTCGTACCCTTAAGGTTGTACCCCTAAAGGTTCCCCTTAATATTTCTCCGAATACGGCCCTTATTTTTTTGTAGGGATCTTGAAACGGGGTCCCCAAAATCCAAGGGTACAACCTTAAGGGTCCAAGGTAGAACCCCTAAACCCTAAACCCTAAACCCTAAACCCTAAACCCTAAACCCTAAACCCTAAACCCTAAACCCTAAACCCTAAACCCTAAACCCTAAACCCTAAACCCCAAGCCCTAAGCCCTAAGCCCTAAGCCCCAAGCCCGAGACCCTATACCCTAAACCCCAAACCCCAAACCCATAGAATCCTGCAAGTAGACCGAGGCTTGGGGGGTCTGCAAGATTTGCGAGAACTTCGACCACGCCAGGTCCGTGAGCTGACGTGCTCATCGTATTCCTAGGTAGGCCCTAGACCGTAGGGTTTAGGGCTTAGGGTTTGGGGTTTGGTGTTTGGGGTGTAGGGTTTAGGGGTGTTTGGTTTTTGTTTGATTTGGGTTCAAGAGGACCGTGTCTGGGGACATTTGTCTAGAGGTTCGAAAGGGACAACCTAGGTTTCGACAGTGCTGAGTTGCCCTTAGGGTTTTGCGTTTAGGTTGGCAGGGGTTTAGGGGTTTAGGGGTTTAGGGGTTTAGGGGTTTAGGGGTTTAGGGGTTTAGGGGTTTAGGGGTTTAGGGGTTTAGGGGTTTAGGGGTTTAGGGGTTTAGGGGTTTAGGGGTTTAGGGGTTTAGGGGTTTAGGCTCGTGGTCCAGGTTGGGATCGTAGTAATGATCATCATGATCGTCCTGAACAGAAGCAAAGATTACGAGTAATGGTAAACATGTTTATGGTTGAATATTCCTATGTCCCCCTTGGGAATCATTTTTGTTTTTGTTTATATAAAACCCACGAGGATATTCAAAGCATTATTTCATTGAGGTTCTAAGGGGAGTATAGATTCATCATCCTGTGACGACTGCATCTGCTGCCCAGACAGTTCCCCTCTACGTTGCAGGTGGATGGGCGCTGTGGCGAAGGAGAAGGTGCTAGCCGGTCCTCGAGCTTGTTGTCTTTTAGCGCGAGACCCCCCTGCTTGGAGGTTCATGGGTACTTAGAAGTAGGGTTACAAGTATGGCAACTTTTTCTTAGACCCCCTATTTAGGGCACTTATATCAGAACCATACTTATATCTATATGCTCATGGACTCATGGACCTCCAAGTCGGCTTTGCGTAGTGAGGAATCTTCCGCCTTGGCCCTACGCCCTGAAGATTGGAGCTCGCCCCAACGAGTCTTGCTGAGACAACACCTATAGGGTTCTTAAGGGAGGGGGAGGGGTTCATGCGGGGTAGGTACCTCGGGAGCCTTAGGGAAGCTTAGGAAACCCTAAACCCTAAACCCTAAACCCTAAACCCTAAACCCTAAACCCTAAACCCTAAACCCTAAACCCTAAACCCTAAACCCTAAACCCTAAACCCTAAACCCTAAACCCTAAACCCTAAACACGATTAAGAACCCGATAAGGAACTTGTGACATGACCCGCAGGCTCTGAATGAGTTCAACTGGACCTTCATTGCCCGAAAGACCGAGCAGCAGCTTCGGCAGCATAGGGTTTAGGGTTTAGGGTTTAGGGTTTAGGGTTTAGGGTTTAGGGTTTAGGGTTTAGGGTTTAGGCTTAGGGTTTAGGGCTTAGGGTTTCATATCGGACTGTTTTGGGTCCCCCCTTGTTCTTTCAAGCATAGCCCTGAAACGGAACACCCTCTTTACCGTGGGGTCGCTGTCTCTTGAGAAAAACGTGGTTCCTTGCTCAACGCTCGCCCAGAAGACATGAGTAGCCCTCCCTGCCCACGTATGGAGCGACACCCTCAACCTGCAAACCCAAGACCTCCCAAGCCAAACCCTCAAAAGACTTCGCAAATGAAGACACCAGGCTTGCTCCATAATTTTCGGCCGCACTTTGCTCAAGACTTCTTGGACCCGAACCCTACACAATCTGGCCGGGGATTTCGATCTTGATTCGTGTGGATAAAGCCAACTCGCGAACAACGTTTTGCCACCTAAACCCTCAACCCTAAACTAAACTACCCTAAACTACCCTAAACTACCCTAAACTCCCCTAAACTACCCTAAACTACCCTAAGCTACCCGAAGTGACCCTAAGCGACCCTACCCCCCCACCCCTGCCCCTCCCCCTCAACCCTTCCCCTAAAACCCCAAACCCTAAACCCTGAACCCTAAAGCCTAAACCCTGAACCCCAAACCCTAAGCCCTCAGGATCTATTACGAGCAGATGAACCTCTTCGACGCCCCCAAGTTCAGGGCCCGTGGTCCCGGCGTCGGGGCGCCCTTGGCCCAGCAACTCCTGGGCCCGCATCGCGCCGGCGCCTCAGCTTTTGGGGTTTGGGGTTTAGGGGTTAAGGGTCTAGGGTTTTAGGGGTTTAGGGTTTGGGGTTTGGGGTTTGGGGTTTAGGGTTTAGTGTTGGAGGACTTTGAGGGCCCAGAAGGAACGAGTATCTTCGGGTGCAGGCGAAGGTTTTGTTGAGGTTTCCATGCCAATCAATGGGGGGTCTAAGAGGACGCGCGGAGTCCTTACCCTAAACCCTAAACCCTAAACCCGAAACCCTAAACCCTAAACCCGAGACCTTAACCCTAAACCCTAAACCCTATACCCTAAACCCCAAACCCTAAGCCGTACTTGTGGGAAGCCGAGGGTGCGATGGGTGTCCTTGACAACAACCATCTGGTCATCCGTGGGCTCCAGCTGCGCCAAGCTCGGGTTGTCAGCTTGTTAGGGTTTAGGGTTTAGGGTTTAGGGTTTAGGGTTTAGGGTCTAGGGTCTAGGGTCTAGGGTCTTGGGTTTAGGGTTAGGGTTGAGGGTTGAGGGTTGAGGGTTTATGGTTGGGATGTTCCCCCTTATACTAACACTCCTTAATAATATGCCGCATTATCATCCTTATTAAGGACTGTTAGTATGAGGGAGAACATCTCGAAGTATATTGTACATTGCGTTGCATTAGAGTATATCAGAGTACATGACGGCGTGTTAAAGTATGTTGTGGCACATGTTTAGCAAATGGCTTCGAATGTGGCGTGCGCAAAAGTGAGCGAGGGTTGTTGGATTTCCCACCACAGACAGAAGCCATAATCTCACGATCCCTACCCAATCAAGGGATTCAGACTCGTACCCCTAAGGTTGTACCCCTGAAGGTTCCCCTTAATCTACTCCTAATATGGCCCTTATATACCCTTAAGGATCCTCAACAGGGACCCCCAAACCCACGGGTACAACCTTAAGGGTCCAAGGTAGAACCCCTAAACCCTAAACCCTAAACCCTAAACCCTAAACCCTAAACCCTAAACCCTAAACCCTAAACCGTAAACCCTAAACCCTAAACCCTAAACCCTAAACCCTAAACCCTAAACCCTAAACCCTAAACCCTAAACCCTAAACCCTAAACCCCAAACCCTAAACCCTACACCCTACACCCTAAACCCTAAACCCTAAACCCTAAACCCTAAACAACCTTCGTCCAAGGTAGAACCCCTAGAACCAAGCCTCGCCAAGGTTGAAGATGAGCAGACTAGTGGCGTCGTCTTTAGGCAGGGCGCCTCAGGACGAAAGAGCCCTAAACCCTAAACCCTAAACCCTAAACCCTAAACCCTAAACCCTAAACCCTAAACCCTAAACCCTAAACCCTAAACCCTAAACCCTAAACCCTAAACCCCAAACCCTAAGTCCCGAATCCCGAACTCCGCCGCGCCCGTTGTTTTGAAGGCTGTGACGCGTCGATGACGTGGATGGGCTCAGAGCCGCGAGCCCAGCTCTTGCGATTAGGGTTTAGGGTTTAGGGTTTCGGGTTTAAAGTTTGGGGTTTGGGGTTTGGGGTTTAGCGTTTAGGGTTTAGGGTTTAGGGTATCGAGTTTAGGGCTTAGGGGTTTAGCGGTTTAGGGTTTGAGGGTTTAGGGTTTAGGGTACCCGCAGATGCCGCGCCACCTTGTGGCGTTCAGAGCAGATGTTGGAGCACGTAGAGCCGCTGCCCAGGTTCGGCATGATCGATCCCCTGGACTTGCCGAGAGCTGCGAACGGATACAAGAAGGTCTGCCAACCCTAAGCCCTAAGCCCTAGGCCCTAAGCCCTAGGCCCTATAGGCCCTATAGGCCCAGCCCTAAGCCCCAAACCCTAAACCCCGAGCCCTAAACCCCAATTGCCCTGAACTCCGCACCCTAAGCCTCTAAACCCTGAACCTTTAAGGGTGTGAAGGCCTAAACCCTAAACCCTAAACCCTAAACCCTAAACCCTAAACCCTAAACCCTAAACCCTAAACCCCAAACGCTAAATCCGGAGACCCCCCATGCTCAAAACTCTGACCCCCCCTTGAAGGGGAAAGTTTGGCTTCTCCCAGACCATGTCTATTTTTGGGCTTCGGACCAGTCCCAGACCAATTCTGATTTTTGGCTTCTCCCAGACCATACCTGAGCCGTTCTGAGCCCTCCCGGACCAACACTGAGCCTTTTTTGGGCTTCTCCCAGACCATTCCCAGAGCAATTCTAATTTTTTGCGACAATTTCTGAGCCTTGGCTGCCCCCACACTATTTCAGCTTCTTTGGCTTTTCCCAGACCATTTCTGAACTTTTTGGGCTTCGCCCGACCATTTCTGGGCCTCTGGCTTCTTTGGGCTTCTCCCAGACCGTTTCTGAGCCTTTTCCCTCGGGAACTTCGGACTGTGTTGCGCAAAGCCTCAACGAAAAGCGCTTGACAATCCGACATAGCGAATAAAGAAAACAATGAGAAGGCCCTCCGGCCGACGACTACCCCCAACGCAACACCTAATCTTTTTTATGGCAGTTTCTTTACATGTCCTTCACAAGGCCTCATCGAAGAACCTCACTTTCGCCATGTAGCTTGCCAATCCGACGTAGAAAAATGTTGACTGGCTGGCTGGTTTTGGCTGGCTCCGGCTTGGTTTTGCAGTGAGTTGTGATTGGGTGGCCTTGGGATGGGCATGTCTTCAAACTATCGCGTCCAGCTGACCAATGCTGCACCCTAAACCCCAAACCCCAAACCCCAAACCCCAAACCCCAAACCCCAAACCCCAAACCCCAAACCCCAAACCCTAAACCCTAAACCCTAAACCCTAAACCCTAAACCCTAAACCCTAAACCCTAAACCCTAGACCCTAGACCCTAAACCCTAAACCCTAAACCCTAAACCCTAAACCCTAAACCCTAAACCCTAAACCCTAAGCCGCAGGACAAGTGCGCGGTGCCCTACAAACTGGCCGCTGCTAGCCTGCACCCAGAGAGCCAAGACCTTCAACCACATAGGGATCCAGAACTAACCCTAAACCCTAAACCCCAAACCCTAAACCCTAAACCCTGAACCCTAAACCTTCAAGCCTAAAGACTAAGCCCTAAACCCCAAGCTCGAAAGCCCTAAACCCTCAACCCCCAAAGCTTGCCGGAGCTCTCAGGAGAACACGGGTCTGAAGTTCAAGCCAGGGCCTTGGCCCGGTCCGCGCTGAAGCTCAGCAGACCCTCACCCCCCTAGGCTTTAGGGTTTCGGGTTTAGGGTTGAGGGTTTAGGGTTGAGGGTTTAGGGTTTAGGGTTGAGGGTTTAGGGTTGAGGGTTTAGGGTTTAGGGGTGAGGGATTAAGGTTGAGGGTTGAGGGTTTGGGGTTTAGGGGGTTTAGCGTTGCGGGCTTGCCCAAAAAGCAGAAGCAAGTCGACAAAAGCTGCCGTGCTTTCTTCCCCCCCAAAGGCACCTGGACATCTTCGACCTGTTCCTGAACAGACTGGGCGCCGCCCTGCAGCCGTGTCCCCAGTGCTTAGATGGACCCTGGGTGGGGGCCTACTAACACAGGGATGCTGCTGGGTAACCCTAAACCGCAAACCCTAGACCCTAAACCGAATGATTCCATAGTTTGGCAAGCCACAGAGCCTGAAGAAATCAAGCCTTCTGTAGGCCCGAAGTCCTGAAACCGAAGAACACCTGACCAGCTGTTTTGCCTTCAAGTGTGCGCTGCGCGGCTAGTGATGTTGTGTAAGTTTGAGGCTCGGGATCTTATGTAAGTTTCAAGGTTTAGGATTTGGAAAAGTCCGATTGGTGGCCTGGCTTGTCGGCACAAAGCATGCTCACTCTCTCTCTCTCACACATTCAAAGCAAGCATCCCCTTCGTTCCCCAAGCCCCAATACCCTGTAAACCATACGCTGGAAAGCTCAATCCAGGTGGTACAAGTCCCCCAAGCACACCATCGTCGTGGCGGACGACGAGAAGAAAATCCTTGCCTGGGTTCGAAGTGGCCTGGGCCTGAGCGACCGCCGCGATTGTCAAAAAACATGCTAATTCTATTTAATTTGGAGCGGGGTGGGGCGGGGCGGGGCGGGGCGGGGTGGGTGGTTGTAGGGTTGTGGGGTTGTCGGGTTTAGGAAGCGTGTTTCGACTGTAGAGGGTCTGCCGTGGGAACCCAAACCCGATTGGGAACCCACACAACTTAGCAACAAACCCTAAACCGTAAACCCGAAACCCGAAACCCGAAACCCGAAACCTAAACCCTAAACCCTAAACCCTAAACCCACCAGGCGGCACACCGGACCGGCCCTACAGTGACAGGCCCTCTAAGTCGAGGTACTCCTGTAGTAGATGCAAACCAGGGTAGGGTCTACTCCTAGTCCTATTCTTAGTCCTACTCCTTACTCCTGCTCCTACTCTCAGGCCTACTCTTACTCCTAGTCCTACTCTTAGTTCGACTCCTACTCCTACTCCTACTCCTACTCTTAGTTCTACTCGTACTCCTACTCCTACTCCAACTCTTACTCCTACTCCTACACCTACTCCAACAGCAACAAAAACAACTACCACCGAAACATGTGCGAATTCTACTTCATAGCCAGAATGCTGAATACTTTTCATGATCATATTCTGATACCAAAAATGCCGTAAGAAGAACCAACAGCCATAAAGATCATGAACACCACAGTTAAGATAGCAAGGAATAGCACTACTAACTCCCCGGACCCCTACGCAACCACTCCGAGGTTGCATCTTTGCGATCAACTTCCACCCCCACAATGCCCAGACCGACCTCAGACTAGACTTGCCCAAGGCTCCAGGGTTTAGGGGCTTAGGGTTTACTACTATTTGCTTAAGGACCCCCCGCCCCCCCAAAAAAAAAAACAATAATCCCTATATTACCCGTAATAAGGAAGAATATTTTTGTTTTTTTGGGGGGTTCTTAGGCAATTAGTAGTTGAGGGTTGAGGGCTCACGCAGGGTGGGGTTTCCGCGTGTAGAGTTTAGGTTCAGGGTTAAAAGGGCTGTCGGTTTGGGGTTCAGGGTTTGGCGCCTGGGTTTAGGGCCTAGGGTTTAGGGCTCAGGGTCTTGTTGGGCTGTGCGCAACAAAATTCCCCCCCCCGCCCCCTCCCGCATACCAACCAATTTTCAAGTTTGTGAAGATTTCGGACGAGCTCGGGGGCAGGTTTGACGCAGGTTGAGGGCTCAGGGGTTCGGATTTTGGATCTCTGCAACCCAAAACCCCAGCCTAAACCCTCACTAGACCCACCCCTGCAAAATACCCCCCCCCCCCCCCCCTGCCCCCCTCATTGTTGCAGTATTGGACTTGGATCCGGGGCAGGGGAAGGTGCCAGCAAAAGCACGTAGAGCTCGCGGGGCTTTAGCAACGTAGGCGAAGCGATTACACCCTAAACCCACCCTGACGAAACCCTCAAACCTATCAATACATAGGGGCAAGGGCCCCTAAACCCCAAACCCTAAACCCAAACCCTGAACCCTGAACCCTAAACCCTAAACCCTAAACCCCAAATGAGCGGCGCCAAAAACCTTCCATGAAAGAATTAGATTGAGGGTTCGCCTTTGATTGGCCCGCGTCAGCTAAAGTCCGAGGCGCGCCAGTGCGCGATAGTTTCTGCGCGACGGAAAAACCGCGCAACAGCCGAAACAGCACAGGGTCTTTAATTAATGGGGTTGGGTGAAGTAATGACCAGGGAGGGCCTCATTTCCAGGTCCCAAACCTCTTGGAAAGTTTAGCGTTCAGGGATTTCGGGCTCAATATTAGGGTTCAGGCTATTCTGAAGGTTTGGGGTCTTGTGTTGGCTTCCCGCGATAGTCCGCGTCAGTGCAACCCCAAAAAGCACGTGCGCGTCAGCGCGCGATGCGGCCTGCAGCAGGCCGCGTCAGAGCCCGCGAGAACTCTTCCATAGTCGAATGAAAAGTTCAAAGGGTTTTCGGCACTGCTCAAATCCTTTATCCTAAACCCTAAATCCCGAAGCCTTGAATGGCTGCTGGCAGGGCATAGATATGGCCAGAGAAGTTGTCGTGGCGCTGGACACGGAGGCTGCGCCGGTGTCATGATTCCCGTAGCCGCATTCTAAACCCTAAACCTAAACCCTAAACCCTGAACCCTAAACCTTAAACCCTAAACCCTAAACCCTCTCAAAAGCGCCTTTTGGCCCTTACTTATGCTGCCCCCCCCACCCCCCCCAAGTGACTGCTTCAAGGATCCGCGTTTCGGCGGTGAGAAGGAGACGCCCTTATTGAAGCCGACGACAAAGGCAGCTTCCCAGGGGTTTAGGGTTTAGGGTTTAGGGTTTAGGGTTTAGGGTTTAGGGTTTAGGGTTTAGGGTTTAGGGTTTAGGGTTTCGGGTTCAAGGTTTCGGGACGTGAGGAGTTTGGGGATTTGAGGATTTGGGTATGTTTCCGGCTGAGGCGTTTGAAGCTTTTGGGGATTTCTGAGCCCAAGGCCCTACTCGAGCCTCAGATTCAACACGTCGTGCTCTCCAGCATATCCTACCTAGGGTTTAAGGTTAGGGTTTAGGGTTTAGGGTTTAGAGTTTTGGGTTTAGGGTTTAGGGTTTAGGGTTAGGGTTTAGGGTCACACCGGCACGGCATGGCTTTGGCCTTTAGAGGGGCAGCGCCGCCGCCACTTGTTGAGAGCAGTGGTTGTGCAGCTGACATATGTTCAGTAGCCTGACCTGCTTGGAGGTTCATTGGTAGCTATGAGTAGGCTTATACGTGCCCTCAAAAACCCCCCCCCCCCCCCTCCTTCACTGTTGAACCCTGCGAGTTCAACACCGGCCTCTTCAAGATCGACCTGCCGCCGAGGACTCCGAAGTCGTCTTAGGAACCCCCAAGCCCAAGCTCTTCCAAGAACCGCCCCGAAACCCTAAACCCCAAACCCTAAACCCTAAACCCTGAACCCCAAACCCCAAACCCCAAACCCCTAAACCCTAAACCCTAAACCCTAAGCCCTAAGCCCTAAGCCCTAAACCCTAAACCCTAAACCCTAAACCCGAAACCCTAAACCCTAAACCCCTAAACCCCTAAATCCCTGAACCCCTATAAACCCTAAACTCTAAACTGTATAAACCCTAGGCCTTGGCTTCCCCTACCTGGCAGGGCGGCGCTTAGGCCTCTCGACCATGCGGCCGCAGCTTCTAAAATTCCTGAATGCCCTTACAAGCCCGGGTTTAGGGTTTAGGGTTTAGGGTTTAGGGTTTAGGGTTTAGGGTGCAAGGTGTAGGGTTTAGGGTTTAGGGTTTCAAGATATGCGCTTGAAGCTTGTGGAGGCTTCAACCTCTAAACGGAACAGGTTAGAGCGGCTTGCCTCCTTCGACAGCGTGAGGTGGAATCAAAGCTACTATTTGCTTAAGAACCCGCCCTTAAAAAGAATAATCCCCTTATGACCCTTATAGGGTTTAGGGTTTAGGGTTGTTTTGGGAAGGGGGGTTCTTAAGCAAACAGTGGAAAACACGAAAGAACCAGCCACAATCAGGCCTCAACCAGGATGCCCAGTAGCGCCCCTTATTCCTTGAAGGTTCCCTGCTAAACCCCTTTAAGCCAAACCGGGGGCACCCCTTTCTAGTCCTAGGTTGCTGGGCAGGGTTTAGGGTTTAGGGTTTAGGGTTTAGGGTTCAGGGTTTAGGGTTTAGGGTTTAGGGTTTGGGGTTTGGGGTTTAGGGTTTGGGGTTTGGGGTTTGGGGTTTGGGGTTTAGGTTCTAGGGAACCTAGTTAGAAGCCCAAGGCATGGCACGACTCTCTTCTACAAGACCTTTCAGCCTATTCCACCCCACAGTACAGCAAACCCTGCAACACCCCAAGCCCTCAAGCCCAACCCCCCAAACCCTAGACCCCCTAAACACCCTAAACACCCTCAACACCCTAAACACCCTTAACAACCCTAAACACCCTCAAACACCCTAAACACCCTTAAACACCCTAACCGCCCTGTACCAGCACCCATTTCGAGAAGGACCGGCCTGGTCTTCGCACCAGTGGAGGCTGCTGAAAAAGCCCTTGGTTCCGACAAGTTGTGACAAAGCTGCATTTGAGGGTTGAGGGTTTTCGAGGGTTTGAGTTTAGGGTTTTAGGACTTTAGAGTTTTAGAAGGCTTAGGGCATGGGATTCTGGTTTTTTTTGGGGGTTTTCGGGTTTTAGGGTCTTCGGGTTCAGGGTTTGGCCCCAGAGAGCACGATACCCCCCCAAGGACTAGGGTTTGCAAGGCTTTCGGTTTGGGGTTTAGGGTTTAGGGTTTGGGGTTTTTCGGGTTAGGGCCCAATGTCAGGTGTGCTGGGCTCTCGGGTCCTAGGATGTGCAGTGCCCCTGGCGAGGACCCCTTAGCCTTAGAACTCCCATAAAGCAGGACAGCTTAATCAAGGAGCACTCCTTAGATCATGTCTGCAAGGTTTAGGGTTTAGGGTTTAGTTTTTTGTATTTTTCAGGTTTAGGGTTAAGGAGTATCTGGGCCTGCAGATATCACAGGCCATGCGCACAGGGTGAGTTGCGTCAGCAGACAGTCCAGTCGGCACCCGAGGCTGAAGTGCGAAACGGCTGATGCACTGCTTGGTTCATAGGCTGAGGCTAACGCAGGCAGCGCTGAACCACATACGAAGCAGGGTTCATATTACTGTTATTGATGAGTGTATTTGCGGTTCCGTTTTGTTCTTGGTGAGTGTGTGTATGGGTGTCCTTTTCGGGATGCAAGGAATATATAAGCTGGGGGTTTAGGGGGGGTTTCTATGCAAGTGAGGGTGCTTAGAGCAAGTGTGGTCTCAGGCGCACCTGCAACCATAGGCCTTGCAGCCGGTGTGTTCGGCCCACTGTAAGAGTGGGAAAGTCATCGTTTTTCCGTTACTTAGTCCATGACATGCACCGGCCCTCCGTCATGTCCAAAGAGGACAGAACACTGAGTGTTGGCCAATGGCTACCGTTTCAGCAGTGTTGCATCGGGAGTCGGCCCAGAATGCCAAAGAAGGTTTCCTTCGTGTACCCAGCCTCTGAACACTGCACAAACCCTAAGTGTACCCTTGTTTCCGATCTGGCAGTTTTTTCATTCTCGCGCCAGGTGCCTTCCACTCACTTTAAAGGAATTGGGCCCGGCTGCGAAATGCCATGAAATTAATAGTGGATGAAGCAGTGCACCCGACCAGGCAGCTACTCAGGACACGCCGGCCACCGCCCTTCTTTCGCAAACGTCCCCAAGTAACCGTCCGCTCTTATTCTGAAAATCGGGCGGGACTTCGGAGGTTTTCGGGACTCGGAAAAATTTTCACTTGTTGCATCATATGGGAAGTTCTCTAGATTAGGGTCTCCCCGTTTGGGTTTCCTATAGACTACGGCACCCTATACCCTTACAATAAGGACCCAAAAAGGGGCCCGAATTTTAGAGAACTACCCATACAACCCATAACCCTGCAAGTGGCACCTCTGGGAGGTGCAGGGGGATCGAGTTCCAAGTAGGTTGTAAGTACCCGCGACAAGGTGTACAAGTTTTGCTACCATACTTCTAACCCGAGACCCTAAACCTTAGCTCTAAACCTCTTAAGTGCTCATGAACCTTCTTCCTAAGCCTAAGATCATAAACCTTTAAAACCATGGCAAGGCCAGAGTTTAACGTTTAGGGTTGAGAGGTTTAGGGGTTTCGGGGTTTAGTTGTTTGGGGTTCAGGGTTTAGGGCACGACAAAGTCATGGTACGCTGCTTTGGGGATCGTGAAGAAGGACCGGGGCGCGTGGCGGATGGTCCGCTTGACCGTTTCATGACTCCAAACTGAACACCCTCAGCCCCCAAACGCTAATCCCTAAACGCTAAACCTCAAACCCTCATCCCTAAACTTTAAACCCTAAACCCTAACCCCCAAACCCTCAACCCTAAGCCCTAAAGCCGAATCCCTATCTGTGAGTCTCTGCAGTGGGCCAAAGTGACATGATCACAGCCAACCGCGCCTCGAAAACAGATGGCATGTGGGCCTGTTCCCTGAACCCGTAAGCCTGAACCCTAAGCCCTGGCCCTAAACCTGAAGCCAAGACTTCTGGGTTCTTAAGGGGGGATACAGGCAGGTAGGTACCTAGGGAGCCTTAGGGAGTAGGGGGGGAGCATTAGGGAGCACCCGCCCTCCCTTAAGAGCTCCATAAAAAGCCCCCAGGTCCTAAAGCCCCAACTGGGGGTTTACGATCTTCGGAAACCCCTTAATTAAGCAATATTCCTTAAACCATATAGGGATCCTTAGAATGATTTAAGGAATATTCCTTAATTACGGGGTATTGGGCTCTTTGGGGGTCTCTCATTTTTTGGGGCCCCTTCTCTCTTTTTTTTGGGGCCCCTTACTTTCGTAAACCTCCAAAGGGTCCTCTCGGACGCTGAGCGACGATGTCGACCCTGAGACCCTAAACCCTCAACCCTAAACCCTCAACCCTCAACCCTAAACCCGAAACCCTAACCCGAAACCTTAAACCCTAAACCCTAAACCCTAAACCCTAAACCCTAAACCCTAAACCCTAAACCCTAAACCCTAAACCCTAAACCCTAAACCCTAAACCCTAAACCCTAAACCCTAAACCCTAAACCCTAAACCCTAACCCCCTCCTGTCGGCAGGTGCACGGATGGCCGTGCCGCACCTGGCGATACCCGGACCTGGGGCCTTGGTCGTGGGGCCACCCCTGAGCATCTTGCCTCGAGAGCTCTGGTTTGTGGAGCTTAGAGCTAGGGTTTAGGGTTTAGGGTTTAGGTTTAGGGTTTAGGGTTTAGGGTTTAGGGTTTAGGGTTTAGGGTTTAGGGTTTAGGGTTTAGGGTTTAGGGTTTAGGGTTTAGGGTTTAGGGTTCTTTGCTTCGCACACACTTGTGAACGAGTGAGTAGCTGACCTTTGCTGAGGTTTCAATAGGCTCTGAAATCCCTGGTTTCCGAAGGGGGTCTTCTTCCAAGGTTTTTTGCAGCAGCGGAGGGGGAGAGAGAAGGAGGGGGATCTAGAGATGCATGTTTGTTGTATGCATGTCTCTTTATGTCCAGCAACTCGTTAGATGTTTACCGAAATCTCCACCTTGCTTGAACTCTAGCTTCAGTCGCCATGCTTAGTGCC